CACCAGGCGCGGCCTAGCGGCGGTCGGTGAATACTCAGAAGCTGGCGCTCACGCGCCCGCGCGCGTGTCGCGTAGTGCCGGTTGCCAATTTGTGCCGGCTAAAATCAAGAGGGAACCACTAAAAATAGAATACTTTTCTTTGGGTGAAATATCTACAGCACATTACTGGACTATTTGCTGTATATTCCAGGAACATTCATAGAAATATCTACAGCACATTACTAGAATATTTGCAGAACATTCGTGCACATTCGTAGCACATTCAGATGAACATTCTAGAGATGTTTCTAGAACTTTTGAAGTGCTCCGTTGGTACATTCTATAAATATGCCTCGAACGTATAAAACGACTATTAGAAGATTCCTGGAATCTTCGAATGTTCTTGGCGAATATTCCTAGAATGTTAATGGAACGTTTTTGTGCTATTTGGGATCAGTTATTGTATCGTATCTCAATGAGGGAGAAATTTCCCTTGAACACATGGATGTCGTTGGCTGTGACGGTACTAATACCAATACCGTATGGAAGAGTGGTGTTATCCGACAACTCGAAGTACAAAGTGGACGGCCATTGCAATGGGCTGTTTGCTTACTACATTTTATTGAGTTACCTTTCCGCCATCTGTTTCAATATTTAGATGGGGTAACAACTGACCCAAGATCATTTAGTGGACCGATTGGACAGTCTCAGCGGCTGCAACAATCGAGAAGTGGTAGAATTTCAATCGATTGACTGTGAGATCCCGGACATTGATAAGAAACTACTGAGCAAAGATCAAAGATACCTATTTGACGTATCCCAAGCAATTAAATCTGGCACTTTTCCAAACGACTTGGCAAATTGTGATCCCGGCCCAATCTCACACGCCAGATGGCTCACCTGTGCAAATAGAATCCTTCGACTATATGTTAGTGTTGTGAATCCTTCGGATGCCTTGATAAGTATTGTCACTTTTATTTTGAAATCATATATGCCGGTGTGGTTCAAAATTAAATGTGATAACCAGATTTCAAACGGGCCCATTCATGTGTACCGGGCAGTAGAAACAGCTAGATACCTGAGTGATGAATTGAAGGCAGTGGTATTCCCGGTAATCGAACAAAATTCTTTCTACGCCCATCCTGAAAACATTTTAATAGCCATGATATTTGATGAAAGGAGAAATATTAGAAAATTAGGGCTCAAGAGAGTGCTAAAAGCCAGACAGTCTGCTTCGACTGGGAAAGGCATTAGGAACTTTCACACTCCTTTACTCAAATTTGACGCATTAGATTACACGGATATGATAGATTGGAGCACTACAAAAATATCGTCTCCACCTTTTCTCCGTGCGATAAGTAATGAAGAAATTAAAAGCTTCATACAATCGGGTGAGATCCCTGATTGGGATATAAAAGAGTTCCCATGTCACACGCAAGCCGTAGAGCGTTGCGTGAAGCTAGTTACCGAAGCTTCACTTAAGGTATGCGGGCCACAATCAAGGGACGGATACATTAGAGCAACACTCAAATCGAGAGACGCGATTAAAGAATTCAGTACTAAGGCAGATTACAAGGTGGCATCGGCATAAATCGGCACACACTCTTGGCTGCGTTCGAAAACGTCCCCCGAATGCCATAACCCACCTGAGGAGCGTTCGGAAACACTTTGAGAACTCTCAGGGAGTTCTCGAATGTTGCGTTCGGAAACACACTCGAGAGTGTGATTTCCACTCGGCGAATGACTTATTCTCCCTACCTCTCAAAGGTAGGGAAACGAGGGTAAATAGGTTTGGCGGGAAAAATAAAAATATGTCGTCCGAAAATATACAGATAGATGTATCGAGGCACCTGGTTGTCAGAGATCAGGGCACAAACGAAGTAGTCGTTACACAGAATAAACGTCTACTTCTATGGGATAAAATAAGTAAGTATTAATTCGCGCATTATTTCATGAAATCTACCAAAAATGTGCGTCCTAACCTCGAATCATGACATGCTAGTTTTTATGTTGAACCTAATATTTTATTAACGTGTCTTTCAAATCCTTTTTAAAGAGAAAACCATGATTGAAGTGTCGGATGTTCCACAAGTTCGGCAGTATCTTGGTGTGGAGCCAGTAGTGACAGCAGATAATGAAAATGATGATATAGATATAAATTTGGAAACTAAGTCTTCAACACATGACGAGAAGAAAAGTATAGCGTTTTGGAAAGATGAGAATGCTGTAAAAGCACTCATTTATCAGTGGAAACAACATCAGCCTCTGTTTGAGAGTAGTACTATTAGAAACGATATTGTGTGGACAAAAATTAGCGAGGAGCTGAAGAAAACCAATAGCATGTGGCAATATACTGGCAAGAACTGTGAAAATAAATTTAAGGACATAAGTAAGGTGTACAAGCGTACAAAGGACCACAATAACCAGACTGGAGTGGAACCGAAAAGTTGCAAATATTTTGAAGAATTGGAGGAGGTACTAGGAGAAAAACCTTGTCTTAAACCTGTTGCTTTAGCTTCAAATCTACGGAAGAGATCTATTCCAGCAGTACCTTCAAGTAGTACATCTTCTAACACTGACAATACAACCAGCGATATTGATGAAGTAGAAGGTAACGAAGAAACAAAACCCAAAAAATCGAAGAAGACACGTATGGAACGCGAATTGGAAGTATGGACGAAAATGTTGAAGGAGGAAAATAAGAAGAGCGATGAAACCAGAGAACGAAGGCACCAAGAGTTGTTGGCACGTCAAGACAGAGCTCGAGAAACCTATGAATATTTTATGACTAAACTCCTTGAAAAGCTCTAACAATAAGTGATAACTATAAGCTTTTTTCTCTTTATGCATAATACATGGATTTTGTTTTTATTAAAGACTAAAGATTTTATTTTACGACATTTTGTTGCAATAATAAGTTTGTGATACACAGTTTATTTAAAACTAAAGTTCTATATATTTTAGTATTATGCGGATATCCTTTCCCTGATATAGCGTGTGTAATTTTGTTTATTTTAATTGTAGATTTTATTGTAAACAAATTATTTTTACTACAAAGGCACTCATTTCAATGCTATTGATGATCATATTGAAACAGTGATAGAATAAGACTGCGATGATGTTAAATGTATTTTTGTTTATTTGCAATGTGATATTCTACAATGGCTGTGTAATTGTGTAAAGTATATATTGTATATACTGCCAATACCATTCCATATTATAATGAGGAATGTACGAATGTACAATCTTTCAATCACGGCATTGTCATTTTTCTTCCTCCCATCTTTATGCAGTTGCATTTCAATTGCATCTCCTCATTAAAAAGTTTTAGATGGTTATTGGCTCACACAGAAAGTACGCTTAATATTAAATTTTATTATAAAATAAATATGAATAAAGTAAAATGTACTTGTTAAATAAACACAAATAATAAAAAATAAAGACTTTTATTTTCAAATAAGGGCGGTATTCATAGTCGGAATTTATATTCAAGATCGTCTTAAGATTTATAGATATTTCGTAGCCAATGAAATGTTCGATACAGTATTTTTAGATTAATTCAAGACGATCTTGAGTACAAGATCTTAGAATACCAGTTTATATAGTATATTACTTTACTGGATCAGTGGGAGATAGACGTATTTTTGGAAATTCAGATCCATGGAAGGAAGTTAGTGAAATCACAAAAATTATTCTGTTTAATGATAATTTTATGAACATAATTTTTTCATCAGCGAAGTAAAGTGACAAGGTATTGTCGTTTTAGAACACCCTCAGGATCATTTTGAAAGTTTACTGGGTTCCTAAGCAAATGGACATCATCTTCGTCATTGTTGTTCTCAGGACCTTCATCAATGAAATCTTCATAATCTTCCAATCCATTATCAAGACAAATATTATGTAGTACACAGCTTGCCAAGATGACAAAAGGAATCACGTCATCACGGTTCATATCCAGAAATTTCAGTCGTCTCCATCTGCCTTTCAACAAAGCAAATGCTCTTTCAATAACTTGCCTCATACTGGAAAGTGCTGTGTTAAATTTTTTTTGATTCTATAAAACATAGAAAAAGGATAAGAGAAGATAGTCTTCTAACTACTATGAAACATACGCTATATAGTTCATCTATGTATAATTTGAATTACTTCTTACTTCTGTGAGTTGGCCTAAATTAATGAATGGTGGTATTAACCATGACAGATATGGATAGGCCTTGTCTCCTATGATGTAATCCTGATCCATAAAATAAGATGCTCTATTTCTCATAACTTCCTTCCATAGATCTGAATTTCGAAAAACACGTCTATCTCCCACTGACCCAGCAAATCCAGCAAAGCAATCTAAAAATCGAAGTTCTGCATCGCACACTGCTTGCAAAGTTATTGCATATTCCTTATCTTTACTTATGTAGAAGCGTGCATCCACCTAAAAATAAAGTACTACATTAGTTGGAAATACTATTGTACTTCTAAGAATTTGTCCTATTTTCATTTCTACGTAAGTACCTTTGGAGCTTTGATTGGTATATTTGTTCCATCTATAGCTCCTATTACATGAGGGAGTCTTCCGATGCGCTGGAAATTCTCATAAACAGCAGCACGCCGGTCTCCTTGGGGCCAGACAATGACATCTCCAGCAATATCATTGAGGGCTTTCACAACTCTCATAAAGGAATCACTTACAGATGATTTTCCCATGTCAAATCGCTCTCCTACAGACCTACAATGTACACCACAACACTGATAATAACAAAAATACGCAAAAAAACTTTTCTTGAATGGATATCCTTACCTGTAAGAATCAGGAGTAGCGAGAATCCACAATGTAGATAGCAATTGCTTGCGAACAGGAATGGTAGGTTTACCCGAATGACTTGTCTTACTTAGTGAGGCACTTAATTTCATTTCTAAAGTTTCATATGCAGCAGGCGTCATGCGAAAATGTTCGCGAAATTGCTTCGCTGTTAGTGACGGAACTGTTCTCTCCACATAACCTATAATGCGCAACGGTTTCCGTCGTACACCGCGTAATCTTTGCTGATATTTTGCCAACAATATAGTATTAATTTCCTCGTCTGGATCACTATCATTTGTTATATTTAGACTACTTTCCAAAAAATTGTCGCTGGTCGTTATAACCAGTGAAATTAAGCGATTTCGACGTAATTCAATACTATCAATTATCGCCATAACCCCTTGGAAACTATCAAACCGTTCGAAAACCGACAATTCCTCGAGTGTTCCACTATCCCCACCACCATATCCCTTGGTCACCACACACGGGTGGGGGCAAGGGGCGTTTTCGAACGCAGCCCTTAATGGTTGGATGGAGGGAAGGGTGTGGGTGGAACTCGAAGTGCAGCCACCTCCTCGTGGTGAGTTCTGGGTTGTTTAGATAAAAAATTAAAATTAATTAGATTATTTCTAAGCAAGCGAAGAGCTGCACATTTGTATGTAAACTTACGAAAAAATGAAAAATTTGCAATTTTTGCAAATATTCAGACGCTTTGCGCGTTCGGAAGATAAGCTTTAAAAGCGGTGATTTTTTTTGCAGACTATTCAATGCTACTACTTACGTTTGAGCACCATAGCGCTAAAAAAAATACAAACCCCAAATTAAAAAACAATTTACGAAAAAACTGTCAAATTCATTATTTTTTAAATACTTTCGGCGTTTTGCGCGATCGGAAGATGTCCGATTTTAATAATTTTTTTTTGTTATGCTTGTATACACCTTTTTTTTGTTAACCCGGGGGAATCCTCATGGACCTTCACACCACCCTTCTGGGAAAGGGCGGGGTGGTGTGTGGGACTCACCCTCCCTGTATCCCAGGCAAAGTGGCAGCCTGGGGCCAGCGTGCAATGGAGGGCGCCTACCGCACTAAACCCCCGGGGGTGACCACCTCATCGCGCTATGGAAGCCATCCGGGACCTGCATCGCATAACGTCCGGATGACCCCCGTGTCGCGCCAGGATTGGCGCTCGCCTTTGTCCCCTTTGCTGGGGACCTTCGGCCCTTGGGCTTTCTCCTCGTTGTGCGCTCCGTGGCAGGGATGCCACCATGTCCCTGCCGCGCCCCCTAGTTGCTGGTGGGGGCGGGCGGGTCGTGGGTCTCCAGCCCACGCCCGCCCACCGGGGTCCAGAAGGATCCCCCGGTTCTGCTCCTTTTAGTGGCCTCTTACGACAGGCACGAGATACCCCAGGCCTATTCTTGAGGCGGGCCCTGGACGCCTCTCCACCACCAGCTCCGGCCAAGGGGGGGGGTGTTGCTTACTCTCCCCCCCGCCGGTCTCCTAATCACGCCGGTGGTTACTAAGGGGGAGGGGTAACCCTCCCCCTTTTCCTCCTCCTCTGGGGAGAAACACTTTCCTCCCCCTCGGCGGCACCCCCCTAGCCTCCCTCTCTTAAAGAAGGGGAAGGGCAGGGATATACGGCGCTCTATCTTTGCCGCCGAGTCACTCGAGGGGGACATGATGATAGTGTCCCCCTCATCCGATGAGGCTGATCTCACCCGATCAGCCTCATCTCTCCCTTGTTCCCCCCTATTTGGGGGACGCACAGGAGGCAGGGCCGCACCCCCCTTGGCCTTCGGTCGACTTGGGGGCGCATTCCCGCATCTCGGCCCTCCTAGCCGGTGCGCGTGTGCCCCACCGAGGTCCACACAAAGTGGGCATCTGAGCGGGCGCCGACACTCCTTTGTCCGGTGACCCGGGTCGCCGCAGCGCACAGT